ACCTGAGAAATTGCACGAGATCAAATGCATAATTTACATTCACCAATTTCAAGAAGTCTACCCATCACATGAATATAGCTGTACATTTCATGATATGTTACTGGTTAACATAATTGTATGCTTACATTGCAGACCAGCAACCCTTACATAACAAGTAAAACTACTGGTAGTGTTCCACAACCTCATACCTTTGAAAATGGAGTTAAACTTGACGAGCTGCAATTTTGAACAGTCATATCATGGAAGGTAGATTTATATCATAGAATTTCCTCATTAATTTTGCAAATTACATCTGGATTTGCATAATTATCATTTTATTATATTGTCATTTTATTATGTCAAGCATGACATAAGTTAACTACATACCAAAAATCACGCTGATCCCTTAACCTCCTGCAGTTCCAGAACAAGCTGCTTGGTGACCCAAACTCACTTCTTCCCTGGCCTGAGAGCTATAGCTACTACCACTTAAAATTTGTCATATATTCAGATCACGAGATATAAAAAGTTCCGCTGCAGAACCATAAAAAGCCACCAGGGGGCCCAAAATCTAATCATTTCGAGGGTTCATAAAGACCTACCCACCTACTAAGTATCAAGACAATCCATCTCCGCCTTCTCAAGTTATCGTGTTGACACACACACACACACAAACACCAACAAATACATGATCTTCTTGGCGAAGGTAACTATATAACCAAAACTGAAACTCGCTCAATTTTCAAATGGTCCTGTGTAAATTTTCATTACCCTATAAACAACCAAAGCACCTTACTTCTGCCATTAGAAACTTCATACGCATGCATTTCAATAATATATTGTGGTTGTATTGGAAGGTACATGTACATAGATGCTGATAAGGGTTTCAATTCTTTTCTAGAAGATACATATCAGAGATTACAGTTTGCCAAGGGAAAGAATATGTCTCTCATATCTATCAGAGGTGGTTTAAATCTCCCCATCGATTTTTGCCTGCACAGAAGGTTTGTGCCATGTATCATGGAGATATGGATGCTATCTCAGGATCATGGAACTCCACATGAAATACGGTGTGATAGGAATCTGCACAGTCTACAGAAACATGTCGTAAAATTCATTTCCACCTACGTGCAGCCAATGTGGAAACGAAATGATTTTCATTATATATTACTGCAGCATATTTGTGATCCTGTGCATGTAGCTGAAAAAGGAATTTATCATGAATTTATGAGCCCACATTATTTCTGAAAATAAACATATATTTTGATCTTTATGAAATACAAAAGATACATCTTTTTGTTATGAAGTGTTATCATTTGAATATATTTTTAGACAACTCTCACATAAGCAAGAAGGCAGGCAGTCAAAATGCAAAAATAGGTAAATACATATGTAATGTAGTATATATGTTTTGTTCCAAGAAAAGATACTGAAACCCACAATAAGCCCCACCTAATTGTTGCCAGTATAGCAGCGTGCAAAATACCTGGTTGCCCGGTTGCCCAGGGCAACCAAATTTTACTTGGGACAACCTCTTTTTGAACCTAGGTAGCCCAGTATGCTACCTGAATTTTGAGTGCCCCCAAAAGCCACAGTAAATAAACTCAATGGTTTATTTCAAAAGTACAAGTTAAAACAGTACAATGTTGGGCTTTACTTATACCATCACCCATCACTTATGTTGCACCTTGCAGCCATTAAGGCCAAACTGCATACTATTTGTTGTGTAAATAAAGCTTCTTCTGCGTCTTTGATCTGTCTGTATACTAGTTAACATCAAGGACTAATCAGTCTTCATTTGATTGACTGTGAGTCATATCACTAATCTGCCGGGGATTACGTCTCTGCCTTTCAATCATAATGCAGGAAATGACAATGTAGAGGGTAGGAAACCAAATCCAATTTTGGGAATAAAGATTGAATGATAACACCGTCCCTGGTAATTGGACTGAAGATATTTCTGGCTTAACAATAACGTAAGCACATTAATATGAGCATCAATTCATAATGACGGCGTCTCTATTTTCCCTGAAGCATGACACTAAGATCAATCAGCACATTGTATTTTGATATTTTGTTGGACAACACTGAGGTTAGGTGTCTGATGGGCTAAAATGGACGCTGTGAATATTGCTTTTTCAGTGTACATGTATTAAGAATAGACTATACTAGTAGCTTGAACCGCTCAGTGGTAGTGCACAGTCACAGAGAATGACCATGCAGTCTGCCCTGTGACCTCCAGAAAGCATCACAATTCACATAAGCTCACAATGACCCCAAAGGAATCCCTTCTTCCAGAAGCAAGGGAAGCCTGGCCAACATGATCATGTCTCAGAACAGGCACAGAAGCTTGATGGCAAAGTGGAGTCTCAATTCAGATGGACAAATGACATACAACTGTGGACAGGAGCAGACCATGAGGCTTCTTGTCTGCCTCCTCCTCCCTGAACCTTACACCAAGGAGGAACTGGAAGATCTGACCCCAAGAGAAAGTCAATGTCATGTGTGGGTAAAAATAGCTAGAGTGGGAGAGTGTGGCAGACTAAAGTACTGTACTATAGTGTACATACTAGTAGTGACTCAAGAAGAGGAAGACCACTTGGTGGATGTTCTTTGATGCATACCTTGTCTGCGCCACCAACCAGTGCAATGGTAAATGGAGGTAATATATGGCCATGCTGACACCATAATGACAATGACTGAACCCAATGCAAGGGCAGAACGGGAAAGAAATGGATAGAGAACATTAAGGAAGATGTTCCCATCTCAATCTTCATGATACATAAACCCGCTGGACAGAAGCAGCTGGAGGTCTGATAACAAATATCTGACATCTGAAGTGCAAGCACGTCTAACCCTCATACAATGAGTAAAACTTGGGTTCAATCAGATCATGAACTTGACTGTGTGAGTGACATGCATGTTGCACTGTGGGCACTGTAGTCTCAATGTCATGGTCATGGCTGACTGAAGGTCAGGAATCTAGATGACCAAATATCAAAGTGGGAGGTCTACTACCTGGGAAGTATGACAAAAATTGTTATGTCCTTAGTTACAAAACTGTGAGCCATGTGCCAAATAACAAAAGAAATAAACATTGAGACAATCCATCTTGAACTTCCAACACAAAGCACTGCTGGTGTCAGTATTGCCATGTACATTGTAGTGTTATATATTATTGATGTGTACGCAGACCCTTGGTGACATGGTTTTCCTATATCACATATCTGTACATGTCAGCAAGGTGCAGTGGCAGAATTCTTTCTGTCCTTTTCATTTTGGTAGCAACAATAAACGTAAAATCTGATCCGAAAGGTTTTAAATCTAATTACATCAAGGTTTGACCATGATCCGCCTCAAACCCCAACCCCTGATTAGGAGATAATGAGATTTTCTCCTGATTGAATTTATTGCTGATTGATAGCCAGTAGCACTGATGTTGTTGATCATATTGATTCTGTGGCTTTGAACGTCCGTAGAAACTCACCCCCGCGCCACATTGTGGGTGCCCTCGGAGGATTCGGGGCATTTCTCTTCCAATCAACTTCCCACATTGGCTGTGATTGCACCATGTATCTTCACATGCATTATTTAACAGCCAGCTACATGAACATTGCCATGTTTATTATGTGAAACTAACATGTACAATTCATGGTCATCCATCCCTACTATACCCTTTACTGTGTTATATTGTTTTTCTATAGTTGACCATTATATTTCTCACAGTACTTCTGACAATCAGTGTCAGCTTCATTTTCATTCCCACATGTTGGTAAGTCTAAAGGATGGGGTAATTCTAGATCTGGCTTCTGAGAAGAAGTCTAGTTCTGACATCTGGGTTTGAAATTTAACATATTCCACATTCATAAGTGTTCCACACGGATTGTCAGAACAATATACTGGTTTCCATGCTTGTAAATCTTTAACCAGGATCCTTTTCCAACACAATTACATATTTCTTTACTTATTTACTTATCAATCTTAGATACACATGGGTAGTCCCTTCAACCAAACAGCACTGATTTCCTTGGGAGCCCATATCATAATATTCATGACAGGAAACAGAATACAAACCCAGAAGGTCATAAATAATACAAGTGTGATAAAATTCAACTGTACAATTCAAATTATACAAAGTAAATTAACAATGAGGTAGTTCGGTGGTACAAGGGAAAGAAATTAAGAAATATTTTCACAAGTGCAGATTAATTATTTTCAGCCTCCATAGTTTTATACTTGAGTCTCCCTTGTGTTGAAAGATTTAACAATAATGTTGTCAATTGACAGAACCCTTCCAAACAATCCAACATAGAATTCTGCCCTAAAAGTGTAAACAATTTAGCATTTACATAAGTCAGCAGCTGCTGGCAAAAAAATCAATACTGGAGTGATAATGTATTTCTGAGTACTGTATTCACTGATGCTTTATTATAGGGAAATAACTATGATTTACTATAACTAGTGTGTGGCAGAATGGGTTGATATCGTTCTGGTGAAAACAAATATGTTTTGTGGAAACATTAATTTAAAGAAAAACATTGAATCAAGACAACATAAATATATGGGAAATGTCATAAACAACACTGACTACATCCGCGTGTTGGTGACACAGGAAGTGTGTATGGATAAATATCCTGACAGACGACATTTCATCGTAAATCGTATAAAAATATTGACATCCACGGCGCAAAAACCACCACGCGAAACTGATTGTTATAATATCTTTATCAACATGATCTCTCCAGGATGAATACTGATCGTCTCGTAAAATCTGGGTAGATCTCGGGGACTACTAGCGGCCTAGTGAAGGGGGAGCTGGAATATGATGTAGGGGGGTTTGCAGACGACTCAGGTGAGCAAACAGGGGCAACACCTGAAAATCGGAGTCTCTACATTCTGCCGCTCATTCCAGCCGAAAAACACCAAATTAGACGTAAACAATAACCTTATAGTTCCTATAGGCTTTCCTGCAGCACTAAAATGAATATCAGGGTGGAATGTAGAAAGAAAGGTCGACAAACCTGTGTTTTTTCGCCGATTCCCCCGATGACCGCCGCCACTGTCAGCCATCTTTGTTGATGACATCACCTGTCAGCCTCGGTTTGGAACGCCCGTCGATGCTGTACTTCTAAACCTGTCCGCTAGAGGTCGTCTGTAGCAGGTGTGCGTAACCAAATACTAGTAGCACATTTTCCATCTCCGATCTCTCTACCGGTAGATTTACTTTTGTAACAAGTAAAGTCGTATTTGCTGCTCTACTTCTAGTTCCTCACACACACATACGCATACACACGTACACGCGCACGCACACGCGCGCGCGCAAACTCACACTCACAAACGACGGAGGCGGGATTTGTCAGGTTGGCAACAGGCAAAGTCAAGGTCGAATAAGGATGGCACAGCTAGATGAACAAGATGTTATCTCGATGTTTTCGAATTGATTTCCTATTTTTGTTATCTCCTATTCCATGACGCATTTGGCCCGCACCAGTCCAAGGCCACAGGAGTTTAACTACGTGGGGAACTGATGAAAGACACATGCGATGCCGCATAGCAAAGTCGAGGTCAAGTGAGGATGGGTGCAGTTAAGAGGCTTTGAAACATAAACAAAATAGATTGTTTCGATGAATTTATGCCTAATTTTACCTTGGCAACTAACGGTATGCACGGTTTCTGTTCCCACGACACTGTGCGTGTCCTCTATACTTGAATACGTTGCATGTTGAACATCAAGGCAAGTTTGGTGTATCATCAGCTACAGACATTTTGTACACCAACCTCTGCTTGGAGAGTAATGAATGGTGCCAGCTGATTTCGACATCCAGACAAAAACACTGTCGACATCCTACGGTTCAAAAACAGCAAGTCTGTGAACAATTATATAATTTCCTGTATAGAACTCCTCTATATCCGTAAGTTCTTAGCATTCTAGAAAGTTGAACCTAGAGGGAATCTTATTGGCACGGAGGTTCTCTGGAAGTTCCTTGAGATTTCTGAGAAGAAGTTGGCAAGACGCAGGCCGGCCGATTTCCGGCGTAAGATTTAAGACGCCCTGAGTTGGTACCGGTATACCGGTCATGGGGCGTCGGCCGGCGTGGGAAAACCGTGTGTTTTTGGAAGGTTTCTGCCGACACAACCCGTTTTGCGATGACAAATGATTTTGAACTTGACCCAAAAGCTACAGTGACCTACATGTATACATGTTGTATATAGAAAATGCAGACCACACTGGGTGTCCACGCTCCATACACGTGAACGGAAAGCCGGGAGCATGAACATACCGTAAATATAACATCCCACTGACAGCGCATATACTAGGGTTAAAATAATACGCTATGACGTATGCTTTACATATATGCCATGTCTGATAAACATTGTTTACGTCAATACGGAAATATGTGACCTACCCAACGCGTTATGATCGACCATACATTGTTATATGAAATCCACCATGTATTGGCACGTCATTTCCAACCATTCTGTATCATATATGACTTCACTTGACATCAACGCAGGTTATATGTGACATCGCCATTTTGTGAAATAATCTAATACCTAAACTTACAAAAATACTTCTTTTGTTGACGTCATGACGTGCATGTCTCCACCCTGCCTCCCCCCGCACAACATAAACTCGTCCGGCTGTCAGTGCGCAGGCGACCACGTGCTCATCAGGTGAGTCGTACAAAGGAGGCCACGGGAACACGTGATCAATGAAAGAACCCTGTCAGGCTCTCTGGTCTACATTGCCGGTTGGCGCACTTGTAGCTCAGCACTGGGCAAGACGGTACTGTCTAGCTACTGATCATCTTTGACAAGCACCGTGGAGTTGTTTTTTTCCGGGTTTGGAAACATGAAGGGTACATGTACGTTCCTGCTGGCGGTGGCTGTACTGGGGGTATCTGAGACATGGATGGCTCTTGCTCAAGACCGGGACTTCGAGAAAGGTGAGTTTTTTTATATAACGCTAGCTTTAACAGTTGTCGCTCAAACTTAAAGCACATGAAATATACAAGCAGCTCTTTCGGTGGCAATATCGTAGAAACTGCCGGTCGAGACTAGGTCCACATGGCTGGTACTGGCCATGAAATAAAGTGACATAAGTGTCTTGGCCGGCAGTTTGTAACGATTTTGCCGGTGTCACACGGCACCGGAAGATCTATGTGGAGATCATGTGTCTACTATAACGTTAGGAATTCGTATGGCGTTTGTTTCCTGGGAATTTGATAGGGACGCGGGAAGTCGTAACCCTTCAGTATGGCAACAGGAAGTCATGGAAAGGATTAACAGTGTTCAGGCAGTGAGGGCAGGCGGACATACGGCTAGCTTTGTAGGTCAATACATGTATTTACTGACCAAAACTTGTAAAATCTGTACTGATGTTTTGGAACTGAGTTTATCTCTCGGTATCAATAGCGTTGGCTGTTGCTGTTTTTTCACGCTGCTCATGCAAATGTGTGTGTTTCGCTATTCTTAACTTGCAAGCAGCAGCTTTTAAAGATTTATCGATCGCAAGTTCTAGCGAATATAAACGCACGCAGTACCTTATTAGCCTGGTAACCATAGCTGAATGTACTGGATTTTTTGTCCGCCCGCCCAAGTCGATTAAAGCCCGTCGGGGTTGGTTTCTAATAAAAGGCTGGAAATATAGCCTGTCAGAAAAAGGCTCATGTTTTGTAGGGCTGGGGACGGTAAAACACGGTACGACCGTGAGAATGGTTACCATGATACAGCAATCAGAAAGGCCAGTTGGAAATATGGGCAAAAGCAGGAGTAGGGCAGTAGGGCCAGTAAAACATCCCAAAGTCGACCCGTCAAGCCGGCATAGTTGCCTAGTACCTTATCCTGCCCGGGCAATCTGCCAAGGCGACATGGCCACAGGCAACTCGTGCGCGGACTTGTGATATTCCCAAGACTAATGGCTCGTCTTAAAGCTGAGCAGACAGATTCCCACAGCCAACATCAACATGGAAACAATGGGGTTAGTTTTCCCCTACTGTCAAGTGTGGAGATCTTATCATGGCTCGGTTGGGATCGGCAGTTCCTCTTATTATGCAGCTTGTTTGTTGCCCCGGGGGCATGTTCATTTTTACTAAGGGCTTTGCCGTGAGACTTTTCCACTTTGAGAAACGGTCACCGACCTTTTTCTTCACAAGAATTTCCACTCTATATTATTGAATTATTGTAGCCGGCTGGTAACCATTCTCACAGTAGCCTCATAATAATGCCGACACTGCGACATTATATTTTTCACCGACTGTTGATGTGGAGGTGGTTTCAAGGTCACGAAAAGAAGAAACGTGATGTACGTAAATCAAAGTATGTTAACGATGGATGAGAGAAAATGAAAACTAACGTTATTTGTAATACATAACTTACAACTACTGTATTATAAAAGGGTTATCGGAACTCATATTACTAGTATATAATGCATCAGCGTATTGTTTCTGTAGATGTAAGTCATCGTACAGTGTGTATTTTACAGAAGGATGAATCCGTCTGTAAATGGTAGACATGTAGTCAGAGTTTTATGGAGAAGGGGGTACGGGTAATACCAGCCTAACTACGGTGGCTATCGGGTGAATTTGCATTTGCCCTCGTGCAAATTGCCAATGTTACCCTTACCGCGACTCACTCCTCTACCCCTGGCCAAATATTAACCGAATTCTACTTTTATCAATACCCCTTGAGAAGGCCTGGTGGAGGCTAGGAGCTTTTAGTGTGAAACAACGTTTTGGAGAGGGGAGTGTCACTATTGAAACGTAACACAGTAGCCCTGAAAGGTGATTGTGTGCTTTTCGGTCACGGAATGTCCTCCCGACCACCCGTATCTGGTTACCTGATACCCCGTGACAGACGCTGGGAGCAGGCGTGCGCCGGGCATGGCCACCCCCGTGCACACACGCACACAAAGAGCTCGAGCTCTTATTTAAAAGACTTTAAAAAGTCAATTAAACTGCATGGGGGTTCGCAAGATTCCGCTCTTCCCGCCTAAAATCTGACTAAATATTTAGAATATCGTAGATAAGCTGCCAGGCCACAATGTAGGGTTGATAGTATAGTATAGCAAATCAATTTCCGATGGAGCTTTTTTTGCCGCATAGAATAACAGTATGATGAATCGGTCATGGAAGAAAATGGCGCTTTCCATCTGAAGCATAATTGTGATGTGCCCCGTTGTATTCAAGCAAACGTTGGAAATTGAAGATGGTAACACACACTGTCCCGGTGACTGAGGGGCAGTCAGAAATTGTTCTGACCTCCCCATTCAACGTATGCACGGAGATTTCTGATTATACAAAGTTTGCAAAGTGTGCAACCAGGAATCCGAAATAATTAGTGAATTCAACAATGATGATGTGTCTAAACGATTACCATTGTCACCGGTGTGGTCATTCTCGGTGTTTGGTGCTTGCTGTGTACTTTTTTTCTAGTATTGTATTGTACTAATACGTTAAAGATTCCAATAACAGAAAAGAATATTGAGAAAATATCAGCAACATATGCATTTTAGGGTTTTGTGCGGCCAGCAATTGGGGTGTAGGAAATACACTATCAGCTATCAGCTTAGTTTGCCAAGCTGAAAACGTTAGCTAATCCCTCACTGTGTGATAAATATCTTTGTGATTATTGTCTGATTATTTTAATTATTATGTAACGTTACTTGTACAACGTTAGTTGTTTCTTCGTTTAATTCATTTTTGTGTCTGCCTAATATGCCTAATTCAGCGACTTGCACTATGTACAAGCAATTTATCTTAGTGTATTGTTATGAATCGAAACAGGGTCCGCCACAGTTAGAATTTTCAAGGCCAAATTCAGGAACCACCTCTCATCAGATTACTAACTTTTGAACAACTTTTGAACTTTTCTGACTTTCCAACCGTTCCATCTTTCCCTTCCACTTTTGACTATAGATATTATTATGATTACTAATTAATTTGATGATGATGTGTCTTGGATATTGTATAATGTATTGTTTTGTTTTGCTATTTTGATACTCGTAACTTGTTGGGTCCAGTATATTGTATTGACTTGTCCTGTGTTGTGTTGTGTTGTGTTGTGTTGTGTTGTGTTGTGTTGTGTTGTGTTGTGTTGTGTTGTGTTGTGTTGTGTTGTGTTGTGTTGTATGTATCAGTGGCAGCCGCCACCAGCCTTCTGGCTGCCTGGCTCCCACTTGTAATGCGTTGTTGGCATCACCAATAAATGTAATGAAATGAAATGAAATGAAATAAACCAATCTCGAAGCTCTCATCTATGGAGTTATCGAAATCAAATGGCTTTTATTACAATCCTTTCTGGCATGAACAAAAGGGCACCTCGACCTTTTCATGGCTCACAGTGACAGTTCATTGTTACCGTTTGTGGGACGCAGCTGGGTCAATATGAACAACTTTTGTCTTCACTGAACACGGAATTCGTGCCAAGACTCAAGGTTAGCAAATACACGAAATAAGAATCCTGTTCAGAGTCAGACTAATTTCGAGACGTTACTAGTCAAAACGCTATATCACGTCAACTCTTATACCAAAAGTACGATATTAAGTTATTGTACTATAACGTTATCTATCTATTCGCATAATACATGTGTAACCTCTTTAGTGCCTGTTTATATAACCACGTATACTACTTATGTAACTATCTGCCTATTTGTACACCTGTGCAATCTACTGGGAGAAAAGTGTGCCAATGTCCTGTAGTGACTCCTAGAGCTGCATGTCCCCTGGGGTTTAAGATGTTTGAAGAAAAGGCATCATAGTTTCCCAGCAAAGGAGCAAATTTAATCATTGTCGTGTGGTGTTCATACAAGAACTGTCCGGAAGGTTGTATGTCAGAAGCAAAAGCAGGAGCCCAAGAAGATCACCCAGGAGACAAATAAAATCTGGTCTCATGTGAACAGGTGACTACCGTGATAGACAAATGCCTGTGTCAATGGGAAAAAGGTATCTAATGGGCCACCAAGAGTGGTCACATTTGCCAGATGCCGATACAGGTACATGTAAATCCTTCTGAAAATTCTTCACCTTTGCCACAGTGAATGAAGCGTGATACAGCTGATAACTCTAGCTTCCGGCGACCTTCTAATAAAGAATCGCGTGACATTCTACCCCCGTGCTTTACTTTACTTTACTTAAGTTGTTTTTTCGCAGTTTGATCACATCTGAAAAGAATGGTAAATCCTATGTGTATGTAAGGATCAGGAAAGGCAACAAGCTGGAGACCGTAAAGCCTCGTAGGCATAAGACTCTTTATTCATGTTCAACTGTGTGACACTGTATTCTACAAAGGAGTGAGATGGTTGAGCCAATATGTAGATATATATTCCCTCCATCTTGGTACTCTCCAAGCAGGGGCTCAGGCTTAGGCTTCTTTTTGTCGAGTTTTAAGGCGTTTTTATCTGGCTTTCTTTATGTACTGTTGCCCTTTATCTTGCCATCATTCGGGTGGCGTATTGAATACTGCCCTGCCAATGATACTGTCTTGCGAATTTGATACTGTATTCCAGTCACAAAAAGATCTGCTTGGAGATTAGGTTGAGCCAGCTTGTACATGTACATCTTACCAGACAGTCAGACACACAGAGGGCCACAAAGCGATCACAGCTCTAGTTGACTGTTGACGGGTGATGTCTGACACGTACTTGAGGCACGCAGTTTGAGTCACGTATGTGGTGGCGGATTATCGCGTGCGGGTGGCATCAGGTTATTGCAGGCCGGCTACCACGTGCACAGCACGTGAGTGGAAACAGTCTGGTAAAATTCTGCAGTGCGTCTCGAATTGCCTTTCCTCAGCGCTCCCGTATAGCCCGAGTCACACAGCAGGAAAATAGCTCACCAGACAAGTCTGTGAGCTGTATAGTGACATTTTCGGCAGCAATGCGACCGGTGTAATCTCCAGGCAGATTCCTTTGGGGCCAAGGCAACTACCATTAGCCACCGACCTGTGTTCTCTCGATCGGTGCACGATTTTCAGAGATCGGCCCATGTAACGTTATATATACTTGTAACGACCTTGACTTATGATAATGGTTAGGAAACGTTATGTTTTTATTCATATCGATTTACTTCATTGGTTATCGGTGGGGAAAATAAAGTGATGATGTGGTAATGTGATAATGGTGATGATGATGGTAATGATGATGATGAAGATGATAATGATGGTGATGATGGTAATGATGATGATGGTAATGATGATGATATCGATGATAATGATGGTGATGATGATGATGGTAATGATGATGGTGATTATGATGGTGGGGTGATGATGATTATGATGCATGATGATGATGAAAGCCTTTATTTTGCATTTATTGCCCCGTATGGGCTACGTGACTAACAACTGACAAGAAATAACGGAATACAGATAACAGTTGCCATTACACTTAGTGTGTTTAACATACATGTATGTCATCTAATAACACATGACATTCTTATACAGGGTGTCGAATCTTCTCGTCCCTTCAATGTTGAGAAGGTAGGAAGAGACGATACTAGTATGACAGTATGTTTAAGGTAGGTTGATAAACACGGTTCCAAAACATAATTCATGCATTTGAAGTGTTCAAATTTTCCTACAATGTCACTGATTAATGTTCAGATGCTGAATACTGGAAGGAGAGCGCCCAGGCGGCCATCCAGAACATCCTGGCGAACCAGCTCAACACCAACGTCGCGAAGAACGTCATCATGTTCCTGGGGGACGGCATGGGGGTTTCCACCGTCACGGCCGCCAGGATTCTCAAGGGGCAGCTTGAGGGTCTGTCAGGGGAGGAGGCCGCCCTGGCGTGGGAGGACTTCCCGCACGTGGCTCTGTCCAAGGTTAGTATAGCCCCTATAAACAGGCCTCTGAAGCGTCTGGAAAGAGTAGAAATTGGCCAAATAGACAGAGTGGCCAGACTCCCCTGGCAAGAACAACTCCATCTTATTTGGCTTAGTTGTTCGTATTTTTACTCGTCAGTATCATCATGCAAGGGACCGTTGTCATGCAGGGGGAAAGAAAGAGGGGTGGGCAAGGAAAAAACATAAGGGATTATATGAGAAAATGGACCAGCATGACACAAGTGAATTAAGAGGCATAGAAAACCGAGAAGTGTGACGGAAACTGGTTGTCAGATCGTTTGCGGCGTCCCAACGGTCAAATGATAAAGACTATGTCAAGAAAGATGAGATATGATTCTCTTCCTCCGTTGCAGACCTACAACGTGGACCGTCAGGTTGCCGACTCCGCCGGCTCGGCCACGGCCTACCTGTGCGGCACCAAGGCCAACTTCGGCACGGTGGGAGTGGACGGGTCGGTCCGCCGGGGAGACTGTCGAGCCGTGGGCGGGGACAAGCACAAGGTGGACTCCGTCGCCAGACTCGCCGACAAAAACGGTAACACGATAATGTTCTCTGAAACGAAGTTGACTTGTAAAAATTAGACTTAACCACATTTTCTCAATGTCTAACATTTTCAACTATCAATCCAACTTACGTTTTCATTGAGGAACTTCATTGACAAAGACTGGAGTTTGATAGTTGAAAATTCTGGTAAGGCCATTTTAGTGTTGGAAATTACTGAGTTCAATCTTACCTAGCCTCTGCTAGAATGATTTCTACAGACACAGATGAACTTTCAAGCTATAACATAAATTTTACTTCAGTTTCCATGTCGTATTTGCGTAGTGTGTCATTGTTGAGTGAGTAGTAATTCACACGAGACTGCTGGCATTCCTCATGCCTCGTGCAAGTAGATAAGCCATGTATTATAAGCTCCACCTGTTCGTACACTTACAACTGTCTGAAGACGCGAGAAATTGAACCTGCACATACTAGAATACATTAGCGCATGTAGATGTAGTAAGATACCACCAGACTCTTGTATCACTGTAATTGTTCGCGACGATAAGGACTGCCGACATCTTATGCTGTTTCAGTGACTAAATAGGCATCTTATGGTTTTAATGCATATGAGGGTTTTTCCCGACGTCGAGGAAATCTCAGTCGACGGCTCTGGAGTTGTCGTACGACGCTAAGCGGGAGTCGACGACAACTTCAGTGCGCGTATAAAACTAATTATAAGCTTGTAAGAGCATACAAGTACAATAAAGGTCTTGATTCTTATATCATAATTATTATTTTAGGGAAGTCCGTGGGCGTAGTGACGACGACTCGGATCACCCACGCCAGCCCGGCGGGGGCCTACGCCAACTCTCCCGAGCGCGGCTGGGAGAACGACTCGGACATGCCCGACCAGGCCAAGCGGGACGGCTGCAAGGACATCGCCTCTCAGCTCATCGAGAACGGCAGAAACTACAAGGTAAAGTTAAACTGACTATAGAGTTCAGCAAAACGGAAACGGAAAGAAGATGGTACCTGCATGGCGTCCAAATTATGCATGGCAGCTCCTATGGTGCCAATGAAAACAATTCATCAAACCTGTACAAATTGATCTGGGTTGGCAGGTAACATGGTAAAAATGTAAACTTTTTTTATTGAACACTAAGTAGCCTAGGATCAACCAACCGAATAAGCTAAGATCCTACAGTAAGTACCAGCCCCCCGTGCCTCCCTCCTCGCCTTTTCCCTTCTAACTATCCCTTAATTCATCACTACTTCTCGCCTTGCCTTTCCCTCATTCCCTCCTTTCCCTTGCTAGGTTGTTTTCCAATCCCATTCATCCTTTTTCCTCCCCTTTTCCACTCCAACTGCTGCTGCCTTTACTAAAAATCCTGACTCCCGCAGGTCCTGCTTGGAGGCGGACGCCGTAACTTCTTCGACGACGCGATAGACCCGGAGTACCCTCACGAGTCGAGCGTGCGCGGCAGGCGTCGGGACGGCAGGAACCTGGTGGTGGAGTGGGGCTGGGGCAAGGAGGATTACAACTCCTCTTACGTCTGGAACAAGGAGCAGTTCGACAAGATAGACCCCCTTAAGACGGACTACCTCCTCGGTAAGTAGGGACAACACCTGCTGTGTTTTATGTACACCTGTTTTAACCACGTTGCTTATGCTTATTTTTTTAAATAGTCTATTAACAGTTATATATTAGCCTTCATCACCATGTTCCAGCTTTCCTTCTTCTGTTATTTGGGATTAGTTAGGATTGCATGCATGTTTTTCAGTCTTATAAGTGTTTTCAATTACCTGTTACACATAGCCGACCATGGCCTCCAGATCTCCCCTAACCTCCCCTAGACCGTGATTGTAATGATGCAGCTACCACGAGGCCTATTCTGCTACCTTTATGATGTTTTTGGTGGCTTTCCGAAGCGGTGGACCTTTCTTTACTTACGACGTATTTTGTGAATGCATTGTTCTGTCGTACGCAGGGCTGTTTGAGCCGAGCCACATGCAGTACGTGACCGACACGGACCGTGCCGGAGAGCCCACGCTCACGGAGATGACAGACAAGGCCATCCGCATGCTGCAGAAGGACGACAACGGCTTCTTCCTGTTCGTCGAAGGTAAACTCCCAGCTTGTTCGGTGAAATGCTTGTGGATTCTTTGCCGCGGTCACACAGGAGGAAAATAGCTCGCCCTACAAGCCTGCGAGCTCCAAATGACATTTTCGACAGCAGTAGGGCGGAGTATTCTCGATCACTGTCAGCCAACTCTTCGTAGGTCACCCAGTCCCGTCCAGTGTTATAGGGTAGATATGATTTCCAAGCAGGTCTTACTACAGTAGCTAAGGTCAATTGAGATTTGGCTTAATATTCAGGTGAAAAATACTCGACTCGCTAAAATTTACGACCAACAAAATCGGTCGCAGGTCGGCGACAGTGTGAAAGGCATTTCTCAGTGTAACCAAGGAGGACGTGAACCTTGGTGTAACCACGTTCCACCTGTTTCTTCAGGCGGGCGTATCGATCACGGTCACCACAAGGGGAGAGCCACGCGCGCACTGACGGAAACCATCGAGATGGAGCGGGCCGTCCAGCGGGCCAAGGACCTGACGTCCGCCGAGGACACGCTCATCATCGTCACGGCGGACCATTCCCACACCCTCACCATCGGGGGGTACCCCATGCGGGGACGGCCCATTATTGGTATGTTAGAAATCATTACTCCATGATTACTTCACGGAGGTTTGTGTCTTATGGGCTCTTGTTGATTTTTTTAATGCCTAAATAGGACTCAGGTGTTTGAATGCCACGTATTTCTACCTCAAACATGTTCTTTATTACCCCAAAAACTGCGCAAGAAGACGACTCAGGAGACCGATAAAATGGACCTACAATGGACCCCAAATCTAATGGAGCAACAAAAGCTGGCCAAAATGGTCAGGCGGTCCTTATGTAGAGGTGGTCACTTGTACAGGTTTGACTGTGCTGCTTTGTTTCCTCATACTTTATCCCTTATCATATTGCTTCCCATCCTAGGGATGGGCCAGGCCTATGACGGCGAGGACTGGGCCCAGGACGGCCTGCCCTTCACCACGCTGATCTACGCAAACGGTCCGGGGTACGCCATCCACGGCAACGGCAGACGACACGACATCCGCCGCGTCGATGTTGGTAAGAACACTCGAGAGTTTTCTTTTACACCACAAATATTGAAGAATTTACTCAGAATGTAACCCCAAATACATGTTGGGCTCAGGACTCTATACAATGCTGTATATGTACTCAATCAAGCAAGAATCTTGCAGCGAGAGCCTGAATTACATCTTGTTGCATGCACAAAGTACCATTGCATCAAAATAGTCAATGTAAAATTTAGATTGCACATAAAGGCTTTTCTGTAAAAGATTGAATATCTAAATATCTTTTAATGTTTCTAAAAAGATTGAATATTTGTCATTGGAGTAGTCTAAAATGTTGTAACACACTAAAACGTCTCCGTCTTGTCTAGCGGACAAGAACTACCGCCAGCAGGCGACCCTGCCGTTCCCTGACGAGTCCCATGCGGGTGAGGACGTGTCTATCTACGCGCGGGGGCCCATGGCGCACCTGTTCCACGGCGTGCAGGACCAGAGCTACATCGCGCACGCCATTAAGGTACGGACGTTTTCCTCACTCCTCCTACTAAAGTTTGGTTTAATCCTACTCTCCAGGCAGAGGTTTAGGTTTCGGCTTGTATTTGACGTGTTTAAGCGTTTTTGTCGGGCTTTGTCTTTTTTTTGCATTTTTTATGGATTTCTGCCAATTTGATGTCTTGCAAATTTGATACTGTTTTGCAGCCACCAAAAGATCTGCTTGGAGGTAAGTTTAAACCCTGATATACAGTTAGTCCGGAAGCCGGCACCATACAGCAGGAAAATAACTCTAAATTCCATCATAAGTAGCAAATCGGAAACAACGCATTCTCTTTCTCCTCTACAGTATGCCGCTTGTCTTGGCGACTCGAAGGATCACTGTCTCCAGAAGGAAGCCGCGAAGAAAATGGAGAAGCAGCCAGATGAACAACCTCAAGCCGAAGAGAAGGAAGACGTTGAGATCGAGGACGAGACCTACGACGTCGACGCGCAGGACGTCCCGGAAGTAGATGCCCAGTCTTCGGAACATGACGTCACACACAGCACCAGTCGCCCTGCCACAGACAAACCTGCCCTGGCGACCACACCCTCTCCCACCACCACGGGCGTGCACAAGACCACGCCATACATCTTCAGTAAGGCTTTTGCATTACTAGTTTTCTGTAAGAGTAGCCTCTGCCAGGCCTCGGAAGCGACTGGAAGGAGTGGATATTGACCATCTGTCTAATGTAGTTGGCCATCTATCTACTCTTTCCAGCCACTTCCGAAGCCTGGTAGAGGCCATGTAGGAGACCTAGGAAGCTTTGAGTTTGAATTCAAGTTCAATTGTGTATCTCATTACCAAGATGTATAACCTTCATCGACGTATCTACATCTAACTTTATAGACCATGCTTGTTCTTCACGTTATAGTGTGTGTTCCTTTCCATTAACCTTCGTGCAAGAGCTTACAACTACATAGATAGATAATAATTTTTCTGTCTTTCCCTCTTTTTTTAAATCTTAGTCCCCCCTAGCGACGAAGACGCCCGAAGGGAGGCGGTGTTTGAGCTCATCTCGGAGCGGGTGGGAGGGGGGTGGAAGAAGCTGGTGCGGTGTCTGCCTGGAACACAGCTCACCAAACACATGGTGCAGGTGGTGCAGAAATCCTACAGAGGGAGCAAGGAGCGGACGAAAAAGGTAACCACTGTGTTTGCCATTAACTATGACACTTGAAGTTGACTGTAAAATGAGTACAAATGTATAAGACTAATTAAATGTTACACTGTCCAAGTACCAGCGTCTACGTCCTTCTACAGTAACAGCTTTTCCACGGACAAAGTTATGGAACTCTCTTTCCTATTTTAAAGCGTTTCCCTGCAGAATACAGCCCACAAGCCTTCACAAACAACTACTAGTACGTTTACTGTCCGCTCTAATGTCATATCTTAGCATAGCCACCTATACCTCTCACCAACGTGGTTCAGTGCATGCCCAGAAGTGGACTTTTATTCCTACATTGAGCAAAGAAATGTTCTATCCTTCACAAGGAACCAGTGCATCACATCGCGTGCTAACTTGTAATGGTTCAATTTCAATGGGTTTGTCACAACTATAAAATATGTAACGTTACAGAGCAACAACAGTAGTATGACTAAGGGATGTGTATTTATTTCTATCCGCAGATCCTCAGCTTGTGGCAACAGATTAACAGCGAAGATGCCACCATCATCAACCTGGTGACCGGTCTGGACCGCTGTGGCCGGAGACGACTGGCCAAGTACATCGACATCCATTTTACCACCGGCATCCTATAAGGACAACTAACTTGTGTCTGCTGGAATTAGATGTAAGAGAAATGGGAAATTTGCTGGTTAAGGTTGCTGACGTTCTCGTACATCCAGGCGCGAGCATGTAGTCTTGGAATTTCATAGGTCATGGGATAAATTTCGGGAGGGGTATCCCCTCTATTTTCACCAATTTCTTTTTTTAGTCCTTCGAGAGGTTTGCGTGCATACCAATACTGTAAACTAAGAAGGACTGAATCGAAATCCCAAATGACTATTGGAGTATTGTATAGCGTTGTATTTTTTGCTATGCAAAACGGAGCTGTGTAGCAACGAGTTTATTTCTTCACATGTAAATACTCTTAACGATAGCGATTAGTATACTATACTTGTATTACTGAGTCAACTTGACAATGCACATATTTGTAGGCTATATACTTAATATTTATGTTACCCTATAATAGTTCTGCTGTCAAGATATTTCAAGGCCGTAAATTGGTCCATTTTTCAATACACAGAAACTACAGTCAAAACTGCCCAAGAAGACCATTCAGGGGACAGGTAAAATCTGGTCTATGTGGACAAGTGGTCACTAGACAGGATTTTTAATGCTTTTGTCAATGGGAAAGATCAATCAAGGGACCACCAAAAAGTCGTCACGTTAACGTTGGCCAGGTGGTCGTTGTGTAAACCTTGTACAGATTTGACTGTACATCAATGGACCGTTGGCCCTAATGTAGAGGTGGTCGCTTGTACAAGTTTGACTGTAACTTTTATGATAACCTTGATATGTTGCAATGTTTGTATATCATTTTCATTCTTATGGATTGTAAATATGACAGTTCACGTGTTAGCCTGTGAATACCGACATTCCATGTAACAGGAATAAAAACACATAAAATATAGAACACAGTGATATGGTCTTGAAGATGCGGTGATTACGAAGGCTTGATTATTGAAGGGTTTTTTAAGGGATGGAGGAAAATGGACGGTAAACTTGGCGCAGATTCGAAAAATCAAGATGTGGCGACAAAGGTTATAATTATCTCGTTGATACCAGCTCAAACTCATCAGAGGCAGGATTTGGTATTCATCATTTTATTTACTTTAAAAAAAAAACAAGCTCAAAACAGCAATGATATGATATCAGCGTTAATTGGTCATTACCACCAAAGCCTGCAATGAATTTTACCAACACATATACATTACAAAATACGCACTTTATCACGTAATATTCTCCTGGATGTCTAGTCTTCATCAAAGTAACTTATATAAATAAGTGCATTGTTCGTTGCATTGGTATCAAATCCGGGAAGCTGCAACCGCTGAGCGACCAAATGTTTGAAAGATCATACCATACCGAAATGTGTCACATTTTTTGTGTTTTATTGCCTTTTTAACCATACTTAAATCGTGTGCCATATTCTAATGATAAGATCAAGGGTCACACAAATCCAGTTTTGGTCCTTGTACGGTCGCTCAGCGATCGCCGTCTCGTGAATAGGATGCCTTAAATAACTCATGAGGAGGAAGAAAGGAAATGTCCCTAACGATCTTCTGCAGTACGTGCGGGAGAGGGACACTGCCTCTCGTCACTTCCATCGCTACAGTCCGTGACTCCGTCACACCTCTGTACCCGGTACACGCACGTGTAGTCCTCCGAGCACGGCCACCCGTCCTGACCGCACATGAGCTCCGCCATGGTGCCTTCTCCCTCGGGCAGGAACAGGCCACCTTTACTGTAGGTTGAACGGTGCAGACCGGGGAACTCGTCCTCCAGAGCGGCGGCGATGTCCCCGAGACTTCTCACCGACTCTTCGGTGATCTCTCCCGCGATCTCGATCTCCACCTCCATCGCGCCGAAGGGCCAGGAGCTGAACAGGTAGTCGGTGAGGATGTACCGGTCCAGGGACACCTCGAAGAGCAGAACGTTGTGTTCGTCTTCTAGACCGATGCGTAGGCGGTAGTCATCCACCTAAACATACAAAACACGAACGCTATATAGTCATCCATAATACATTGATCAATGTCATCCTCCTAAAAGTCATCCTCCTAAACATAAAACGCGAACTTGTGAAATGATGAAAAAATAATGTTCAAGGAAGTCTTTTATGACCTTTATCCATTTATAAATCTTGCACAAGAAGCTTTGCTACTGAAATACCTTACATGTGTCTTCATATGGCCCGATGTGTGTGTGACTATCGGTAGAGATCTATCGAAATCTAATCTAATCTGAAGGTGGATAATGGTCACTTGCCACCTGCTTGGAGATTATCGAAATCTTACCTTGAGTGAGGGCCTCAGGTCGGCACAGTCTAGCTGCGGGTGTTCTCTCCTCATGGCCCGGATGGCGTCGTACGACAGGTCGCAGGCGGCGATGACTGCAGTGGACGTGGGCTGGTCAGGCTCACTCTCCCTGCTCCCAACCTCCTCCCTCCCCCAGATCGCACCCACACGACTCGGGCTCCCCTTGTGAATGAATGAATGAGTGAATGAATGAATGAATGAATGAATGAATGAATGAATGAATGAATGAATGAGTGAATGAATGAATGTATGAATGAATGAATGAATGAATGAATGAATGAATGAATGAAAGACGGAATCAATGAGGTAGGAAATCAATTAATGGCTAGTCCAGTACAGTGACGACAACGAGATGACTTGATAACGAACAGGGTATAGGCTGACAAGTCAAATCAAATGAAATATGAAGACTAACTGGTCATAAACTATGATCCGACGAAATTTCGATTATGGTAACAACGAGGAAAAGTACATAGCACTACACAAAGTGGTGCGTAACATACTAGTACTAGTAGTTGGTGACGTTTATACGTCCCCAAACAGAAGAAGAGAAAAACCAAACCGTAACTAAGATCATTCTACTAAATACCTTGTACTGAATCAGGTCCCAGTCAGAAACCCAGTTGGCCAGTGTCACGTCGATCCATGAGTTACTGTACGCCGGTGGCGAGGCCTGGTAGCGGGTGCGGTGCCTCAGAGAGTTCATGTTGTCCGTCATCTGCAAGTCTGTGGTGTCGTAGTAATAATCCACGTACTTACGGCAAGTGTTGCCCCACCGGGACACCGCGGTGTAGTTCAGAAACTCGCTACCGTTGGCAAACCGTTCTACCAGGGCGTCATACGTAGTGACGTCGAGGATTTCCCACTTTCCCTCCACTTCGAAGTCCCGGAGATCAGGGGAGGATGTGGTGTTCTCCGCCGGGGTGGGCTCCTCGGTACCTGATGCGCCGGTGGCGGCCGGCGTGTCGGTGCTCAACGCTGGTAGCGGAGTACTGGCGATCTGACGAGGCGCTATTGTTACCGCCAAAATCAGTACAAAGTTCCAGGTGGCGATCGACCACGTTGTGCTTCTTCCAGCGCCTTGACACTGGCCTCTCAAGAATTCCATCGCAATCTTTAAGTTGCCAGTATTGGAATGATAGGAAAGCGACGTTCTTTTACATGAAAAAGCCGGCGAGCAGGCAGGCAACGGATTCTACTAGTTTTCACGCCTATTTAAGTGACTCCAGGCCGGAAAATGTGGGCTTTTTATCTGTGCACATTATCCGGCCCATGCTGCCCATCACGCCGCTACTGTGCGCTCTCCACGTGCTTGATCAGTAGTACTGCGTAGGAAACACAAAACCTCGCCTAAGACCGGATATATGCAAATTTTGTGAGAGGGAGTGTCTTTCCCGTACATGCTGTGGACGTGATACTGTGCTGGTTGTTGGGTGGGGTATCACATGGGTGTCTGTAAAACTACACGGCGGCAGTAGTGTGTAACACTACTCGTGTGCAGTGCGGTTTGAATGGCTGCGACTTGTCCCCATATATAGGACATATAGGTCTTCAGGTTCACGAATGAATGAATGAATGAGTAAATGGCTCACTCTCCTGGCATGGCCTATCATTCACGCTATTTTATTCCAAATTCAGATATACATAGCCTCTTTAGGAAGGCCCGATGGAGGCTATAAAAGACCAATACACATGTAGCATGTTTTAGACAAAGACATCAATGTTTACGCTTGTCTGTAATCGTACACCCGAGTGACCTCTCCTTGTCGAATGGGTTCATCCAGGGGAGGGGGTATGTAGAATTTTTTTCTTTCTTCATTTGGCTAGCTGCCCACATACAAGCAAGCGACCTGTCCTTTGTGCTGATCACTAACGAAACACACAAGCATGATATAAATATTTTTCCTTCCCTTTCTGTGGTTCGCACTTGGCATGCGTTTTTCAACAGTACGACGCCTAACGAGAAACTATTGCAGTTTTATCAAACATTGCGAGAAAGCCTTTTTAGTTTTTTTTTTAGAATGGGTTAGAAAAAGGTACATATCAATACAGCAATAGCCGAAAAATCGGGTGCCCCATATTCTAAAGGAGAAAACTGATTTGGTTTGGGTATTTGGTCAGATTTGCCTCCAAACGGGAACCAGAACCCTAGAACAACAGGGACAGAACTTCCCGTCAAAGATATTCTAGAACAGGAGACCATCTCCAAGGCAACGCCGCATGAACAGTGTTCGTCTCACGGGCTGCTAGCTCACTGTTCACGTCCGAGTTTGGTACGTGGCAAGTCAGATGGATAGTGTGATATATACCGGCTAGGATATCGATGGCCGAAGTAAGAGTGGACATATCGGGGACTAGTCCTGTCAAGCCAGCTGGCGCCAAGAAGAAAACGGTGAAGTTCGTAGCCAGCTCAAAGAAGTTCAAAGTGATAGATAAGCCGCCGTCAGCACTGGGCCTTCCCAAGATCACTGATGACGTTACACCCCAATTAGGGGACAGAGTTGCTTTTGATATCAATAACGATGAAACCGTCATTCCCACGTCGACAGATTGGCCCTCATTGAAGACTGAAGAAGTTGATCGTGTTAACTTCAGTGTCAGTGCACACTGCGCTTCGACAGATCCAAGTGACAAGGAAGACGAACCCAAGACCAGCAGTTTGACCGACCTGAGTTCCTCTAGTGCGTTTTCTGTACGAGTCCGGCGCGCATCTCAACCGTCCAGGACCAAGCTGAGTCCGGCCGCACTGAAGGCTCGCTGTGTCCGCCGGAGGCTGAACAGGTTTGTTTTTTGTTTGTTTCTTTGGCATAACCAGTCAACTGCCTTTAGGCGTAACTTGACAGTACAGCACGTACATTGTACAAGCTGTGTAAGCCGGGGCCGTAAGGTTTGAACCGCTCACACCGGGTGTACCCCTACTCTTCTCGAGAAGTGCGGTGGGTTCATATTCGAGGTGTGGCTCTCAAGAACGTATCCCCCAGCATCCAGCAATAAATCCCATCAAGAGAGGACGTGCCTAACCGCAGCTAGGTACTCACTTTAACCCGAGTGAAGTGCAAAGTGCCTTCCCAACGGCACAGCACAACACTTGCATTGGGCCTTCTACTGTTCTAGGAATTTAAAACTGTCAGAACCTTTTGGATCTAATATAAGTCCAACAACTACAGACCGCTTTGCCCCCTGCAGGTTGTCCGGAGGGGATCTGTTCCACCTCTACACCAGGCGGTTTATGAACACCTTCCTCAGGAGACAACCTCCGAGGCAGGACGGGAACATCATCAGCACGAAACCTGACACACAGACAGGGGGAAAATCTGATGCGTGTACTGCCATCCCCTCCGGAGTTCCAGGAACTACCGCGATGGAGAATTCCGGCGATACGTCTCAAGAAGAGATGAAGCAGAGTCTTGACACTCCTGAGGAAAGTTCTAAAGAGTTACCAGCGGTGTTCACAGAGGTAGACGACGAAATCCAGTTCCGAAGCGATCGTGTTGATCCATCTCAAGGCTTGGTAGAACTGGACAACTGTTAGATGTACTATATCACATATAATATATTACACAATGTCGTCGCACCCGAATGGTCGTCGTTCAACTACATATCGTCACTATAACCAGTAATGACACAGACATATCGTCACGTGTGGTAACTGGCGGGGACACAAGTTCTTGAATAAAACACAGGTCTTCCCTGCCAACCAACTTACCAAATAACTCTGTAGTGGAACGTCAACTTCGAACTGATATAATTATGATTTTATCGAAATCCACATCAATCCATCCCTGGATTACTACATAGTTACACTGGTTTATTGTCCCACGCAGGCAGTACTCAACTACTGAATACCCAGTAGACCTAAGGTGGCCTGTTGTTCAATAGAAAAGTCAACAGACTTGCGAAGATCACAAACTTTATTCTAAAAAGCCATTTCCCATGTTTCAAGAGCCTACATTCATGTGGACAAGGAAACTGGTCTCAGCATCACTGGAAACTGCTGTCTTTTTAACAAAATACTTCTTTTTGCAGAAATACCAGGTTACTTCTTTCATATTCTTTTCAAATGTACTGCATAGCAAAAGTTGACCATAAACTATTTATCATACTGGAATTGAAACAAAATACATGGAAGAAAGCCAAATATTGTTTACAGTGGCTCTCCTAACTCACATGTTCTGTGGAAACGTTTCATTAGATACATTGGAGGTAATAAGTTTATACATGTAATCACAAATGAAGAACAGACTCTAAACCCATTGATACACACGTAAATGTATGTTGCTTGCACCATAGTATATCTGAGTAATCTGAGTATTTCTTGGATCTATTTGCGTATATAACTACTCGTACATCTTCCCTAAGGTCTACTCTACACTGACATGACCACAGTTCTGTGAAAAGTAGACCAATTCTTCAACAGTTCAAGATGGTGAGAAGCAACACGATCTTGCAGGGGAACTGAAGTTGTCATGTAAAAGTAGATATAGTATCTGTTTTCTTGTCATCTCTCACATTTGTAAACACTAACACCTCATAAGTAACTTGACCTAACAGTACAGATTATTTTTTTAATAATCTATCACATACTAGATTTCAATATCCTGAGAAGCTGATAAGTAGTGTGGTATCTTTTTGCATAATGTACAGGCTCAATCTAATATATTTGATGGTTAGAAAGCTTTACTATCTCTGTTAATTCTCAGTATTATCTATGTACATCTTCACAACTATGTCAGGTGAACTTGTTAAGCCTTGTCATGCACACTAAAAAAAAAAAGAAGCATACTTTAGGTTATAGAGGATGGACTGCTTGGATTGGCTTGAGTCAACAGTTATCCCCAGCATGAAGTTATATTGTTTACTGTACAAAACAGGACAGCACCAACACATGTATATTGCATTGCTCCTACATGAACATCTGAATGCAGGGTTTGCACCATGAAAGGACTATAACTACATGTAGCACATCACAATCACTACTACAAACCATACTCTTTTTAATAATCATACTCTTAAGTCTACAAGTTTAATTTTTTGCACACATTTACTACGAGTCAGCATCAAATGCCCTTAGCTATATATTGAAGGATCTGACAGATAAGTTTGGTGCAGAGTTCCAGATGGAGGGAGATTTGCTAGTGTAGAGTGACTTCCATTGCCTCCTGCCCTGAAGAGGTCTGTGTTTTGACAAAGCTGACATCTTGTGATGTCCCATCCCTGACTTGCAGGACCTCGGTGTCCCCAGCTTTCTCAGAGGCTTCCTTGGGAAGACAGGAGTTGTTACCTGAACTGGAGGCTGCACCTGTGGACTGGCTGGATACTGACTTTGGTGGCGGTGTGCTTGCCTCCTCAACGATCATGCAGTCGTCGTCTTCAGAATCAGCGTGGTACCCTGCATCTTCCTTCCCTGATTCCTTGGCCTTGCCTGCCTTCTTGAAGAAATTGAGGATGCCGGCTGGCCCAGGTGAGGTGGTGGGTGTCGCCTGCTTCTCCTGTTCCTTCTGTTGTGGGCTTTTGAAGAGCGCTGCTGGTGACATGGGCTGGACAAACTGCCTGATGTTGGCACCAGGCACTGATGGTGTTACTGGCCGCTCGTCCTTAGCAGGGGTGTCCTTCTTGGCTCCAGCAGAACCAGGAGTTGCCCCCCGGGACTTGGGACTGTCAGACTTCTGCTTGGTGACGTAGGTCCACTTGTTGGGGATGGGGAGGTCAGTGATGTTGTGCTTGGTCTGGACCTCCTGGTGCACGTACCAACAGGTCTTGTGATAGTCGGCTCGCTTCTCCCGGACGGCGATGGACATCATGGTCATCTCCAGCTGCCGTTTGGAGATGCTGTACTTGTGCTGCTGGGGGGCGGCTGCAGGGGAGGGATCAGCAGTGGGGGAGGGTGCGGCTGCTTCTGTGACATCTGGTCCTGCTGCCCTGCTGCTGCTTTCATTGCTAGCACTCTGGTTGCTCGCACTGTCAGCTTCCTTCATCTCAACATCAGGCCCTGGACACACAGACAAGAAATTAGCTCATGAAGGTTAAAAGGTGACAATACCTTATTTGTCATAATCCTATATTCTAAGGTTCAACAACAGAGCTGACCATTAGATCTTATAGAACTTTTTGCAAATCTTCTGCCATGCTTAATACACTGCTATCATAGATGACGTGCGTACCTGATGGCACAATTTCCGATGTTTCCATGGCAACTTCTGCGCTCTTCTGTTCCTTGTTGTCAACCTTGTTTCCAGACTCATCCTTGTTCTCTCCCTTCTGTTTGAGGTACCAGAACTCGCGGAACTCTCGCACTAGGGACTTGATCCCCTTCGGGTTTCCGTGCATCAAACGAATCAGATCTGGGAAGGCTGCGGAAAGGAACACATTTTTATTGGAACTGTCACAACTGTGCAGCAGTCACTCACTCACTCACTCACTATCCTGGTTTAGATTATTCTGCTGTCAGTGAAATAAAAAAAAAATAACAACACACAAAAAAAACAACACTCAAACCTGACTGAGCCTTATCAACTGTATTTAGACCTGGACTGGACTTGGACCCCTTACATGTATGTATCGTTTGGTGGGCTATTCTAGAATAATACTATAGCAGCCACATGGCCTCTGGCTTTAGCCTTTCTGATGTCTCGAGTATGAACAAGGTGAAATTCTACCTTCTTCAGGGACAGGTTGTTTGTTTGTTGTTGTTTGTGCAGTCCTCACTTTCTGTTTGGGGGTTTTGTCCACAGCCGCTATGCTCTCCTCTGGTCCTGCTACATGTATGGGCATGGTGGCAAAAGCACACACCTAGGGGCAGGTTGAGGGTGAACAGAATTATCACACAAGTAAGAACACAATCCGGCCACCATTGCAATATAACCATCTCCAGGCTGTATACCTAATGGCATTTTTACAGCTTTTCTGTCAAATGCTAGAAGAGCCCCCTTGAGGAATTTGTAACAAGTACAGAATCAAAACCTTACCGAGTGCAAGGATGTCTACACAACTGTATGTTTCCCATCTACTGGGCAAGTTATAAGCTTAAAAGAGCTACAGGTTTATGATTTCAATAGCTATATTAGAATAGGAAACTTAAATAAGTTTCCATGGAACATACCTTGTACTCTTCTAGAGTCCTCCTGATGTCTGATTGGTTGTCCTCTGTGATATCACATGACCACAGACAGCCAATCACAACAGCCTTCATGTACTTCATCTGTTTCTTCCTGTCAGCTTCAAATGCTCTCTGCCTGGCCAGCTCCTTAGCCTTACGGGCACTGGGGCTAGACGGCTGAATGGGAAAGTGAAATAAAGTATAATTCCATCTGAGAACGGTAATGGCATGTATTGATGTCTGGCTTCCAAACAATACACAAGTGGAAGGGTAGGTTAAAGTCCTGCACTGAATGTTGTGTACCATAAGGATTAATTCTCTCTTTTTGTCTCACATCTCAAACGTCGACCTGACCCTGTTGACTATAATTCAATAATTGTAGTGGTAGCCTATTTTTTTAGTACATATCTACAAGAGGCACATTCCTCCAAGCTGCCATATTAGATAGCTGAATTGTGGGGCTGTTTGCAATAAAAGGATCATCGTATCTTTAACTGATTGTTAATAGAATAGTACCTCATCTTCATCCTCACACCCTTCGTCCTCGGACAGATGACCATGGGGCACGAAGAAGTCCTCCAAGTCTGAGTCTGCATCCTCATCACTGTCATCCTTCTCTCCCTGCAGTTAGCACAACAAACCATTAACTTATCACTTCACTTAACAAGGCAATCAAAGGTCTTAAGTTGATTTTGTCCCCCTTCCAGTCCCACAGACAAAACTGTAGTAGCAATGAGGATATCTTGTAATGCTTCACTGTGTATATTGGGAATTGTATAAAGACAAATAATAATAACTTTATTGCACAACAGTTGTACATGGTACAAAGTATGGCAAAACTTATCTATAAACTTAACTATGGACTAAACTAACTAATACAGGAGTTTGTGGCTGATATAGGATGTGAATGAACTTTTACAATATTGGAGGAATTTCTTATGTCTAGACATTGTTTGATATACATTCCTATATCTACCATACATGAGTTATCACAGGTCATTATTATCTTAAATTTGCTACTTAAATCCATCGATGTAAATTCTGGTACATATGACGATAGTTTCGTATTTAATGAATTGCGTACATCAACATACTTAGGACATTCCATCAAAAAGTGATACTCATTCTCAACTAGTTCTGGGCAGAATGGACAAATCCTCTGGTCAATAGGAAGCCTTTGAAATCTTCCGGTTTCTATACTGAGTTTGTGACATCCAATTCTGAGGCAGACAAGTCAAAAACAATACTTCCGGTAAATCATGTGATCTATGCTTTACAATAGGCAAACAGTTTTAAAGAATCTGAAAAAGTAGGGTTACTTGGACCCTGACCTCAGAGTGGGAGATGCTTTCTCCTGGTTCCTCCTCCTCCCACTCATCATCACTGTCAAACTCATAGTCCAGCAGGTCCTGCAAAACAACATAGATACATAGTTCAAGGCTCTAAGTGTAAAAAGCATTGCCATTACTTGTTTAACACTTGATATGAAATATCTGCACAGCTCCAGTTTTACCTGCACTGTAGTTCCATTGGCAAATGGCAAACAGAGCCCAAACCATGGTTAAGCAAGAGTGACAAAAGCACAAAAATTGATCTAGTTTTCATTCCATGTTGCCCCCAGATGAGAATAAAGTAACCCGTGTACCTCGTCCTTCTT